TGTCTGTGAACATCGAAAACAAGTTTTATTTCAACACCCTCGTAAATAAAATTAAGTATGTAATAATAAATTGCGTTCTTCCCGATTTTAAAATCCAGATCAAAGATATAATTATTTTTTATATCTCGATTTAGCATAAAAAATAACGTAGACATCCTGATTCAAACTTCTCAAAATTATGATAGATAAAAAACCTTAAAATGAATAGGAAATCAGAGATGTGTTCAAAAAAGTTTTGCATCAGGAATATATATCGCTTAGTGATTACCAAGAAGATTATTTGGATGATCTTCTAAATCACGATCCAATTTCTGGAGTCAAAATACTTTATTGATTATATCAAACATACGTTGGAAGCATTAATAAGTATACCAATGATAATGAACAACCTTCTGTGAATATATATCAATTTTTATGAAGGCTGCAGTTGTTCACATTAGAAGATTTATAAACAATTCATTACGATTATCCGTTAAAGCTTATTAAAGTGGCCCTGTGGACTATTTAGCAAACCTCACCGATTTTATAGTGTTAGTTAACGAGGCCAAATTGGAAAATATCCCTAAGGGGGTAGCCCAAAATATCATGCAAGTGATAGTGCATCAGAGGTAAAGTCAATTTTTTGTATTTATTGCATTTAGGGTGGACTAACATTCAATGCACATTCTCAGAAATTGTTAGGCAAGCGTAAATGCGTGTAAATCTGAATCACCATTATTTGGAATTGTAACAATCGAAATTATTTGGCATTTCATTCGTTGGATTAATTCTCCAGAAAAACCTAATGTTGAAATTTCTCGTGCGGATATGCGGAATGAAAAATTGTATTTTCTCTTATTGTTTGTATGTTTGAGAAACAAAAAGATGCATTAAAAAATAACTCAAAACGTGTACATATTGACCAAAGTAGTCAAAATAGTGATATTTTAGATTAGATTTATATAATCTTACTTTCGAATTTTTTGAATGAGAAATTTTTTGAACCGTATTTTACATCAATTGTGCTAGTTTTATGCTATTAATAAAGGCTTAAGGTTGATCCGTTTATAATAAATTTAAAGAAGTGATTCTTTTACCTGCAATATTTAGGGCTTATTTTTGGAATATTCTAAATAAATTAAATTTGAAGTCGAGATTAGAAAACAAAAAACAATGATGTCATAGCTATAATTATACTTTGACTTCTAAAAATTCGCGAGATTTCAAATTTGCTAATTTGCTGATATAATTGGTCAACCAATTGCTTTGGTAAGTTATAATCTAATTGTAATATAGATAACAATGAAGGATATTAAAGAAAATATTTGATTTTAATTTATAAAATAAATTAATCTGAATTAGCTACGATGAAATAATCGTGATAAAAAAAAAAATATTCGTATACTGTGCTTAATTTAAATTTATTTTTAGTTATTTTGAATTTGCTTTATTCTGATAACTTTTAGCTCATCAAGGATTCTTATATAGAAATTTATATTTTTGGTTGACTTTTTTTAATTTCAATAATATTCCAACGAAGCATATATCTTCTGAAAAAAAATTTAGCGTAAAATATTCACGTCTTGACGTAATTTTCTTATAACAGACGTTATTTTATTTTGTTTTACAGACGATCGATGCGATAAAGAAACACTTCAAGTAATTTTATTACAAAATGATTATTTTGATTATTATCAAGAATTACATGACTGAGTTTTAAATTCATAGTGATAAATATTTGTTTAAAGAATTTCCATTTATATTTAAAGAACAATTATTGTTTAAAAATATTATTCATCCTTTCCATAAGTTTAGCCAATCATTGTATTCAGTTATTATTAATAAAGTATAAATTGAGATAGATTGTTCAAAAGACAGCACGATTAACGTTAAAAACTAAATGAGATAGGCGACAAAATAATCTCATCCAACAAGTTCACGTGACATTAAAATGCGAGTGAAAATTTTTTTGATTAATTGATTTTAACAAAATACGGATTGTACTTCACACAATCATTCAGAATTAAATTATTTGGAAAAGGTATATATATAGCTTACCCCATTCAATTGCTTCAAATATATACAGTATAATCTATTGTCCAAGTATCATTCTATATTTGTTAAGAAAAAATTTAATAATATGGTGGGAAAAAAAAATATTACAAGAAATAGAAACAATTACTTGAATATTATTATAATTCCACTGTGACCGACCTGCAGAAATGTGGCTACTTTTTAATTCTGGGATTTTCTGTCGAGCGATCGATTTATGCATGCATAATATTCACAGATATTACTCAATGCATTTATCACCCGCGTTCTTAATCATGGATATCAAAGATAATTTAATATAGTATATTCATAATAAAAGTAATTGTATAAAAAGGTCAAGATTCGTTCCTTCAAGGAACTATAGAAACGATTAAGATAGTATTGATATTGAATGCGAACTGTTTAGACAACGTTTATATTGAATTCTTATTTTTGCTTAATGGATTGATGCCCTTTATTATTTACATTTACCTTAATCATAAATAAAGTCTATTATATTAAGTTTAACAATTAATAAAATATATTTAATCTACGGAATGCATCACAAGTTATCACGTGGTACATAAGGTGGCATGATAAGTATTAATACTTTGAGATCAGCGAGCATATAAAAACTTATTTCAACTGAATATTCATTTTTTTTTTTTCCAATATTATAGTTGTTGAAAGTGAAAGTCGTAAAATTATTTAAAATCAAATTAATGCAAGAAACAATAACGTACATAGACTTACCAAGACTTTAAACTGATTGTAAATTGAGATTTTTGCTGAGTTTGTTGCTACGAAGTTTCTAACGTGTTTAAATAACAAGGTAACTTTGAAAATGATAAAGCAAAGCTCATTCGATATTCATATATACGAAAATTTAGTACGAACCCGTTTATTAATTGTGAATTATTTTTTCATTGGAATTAATCATTCGTTTAGCCACATTATTAAATGCATGTTAAAAGAATAATGTTGTGGTATCATTAATTATAAAGTTTTATGACTAAGAAACATAAAGCAGTGTTACAAGTAATTTATAAAATAAATAAATTTTTTTTTTATAATCAATCGTCACACGAAAAAAAAACTGAAGATCCAATAAATTTTTTTGATTTTCGTTTATTGTATTTAAACAATTATTAATTAGCAATTAAATAATTATGATGTAAATATTATTCAATAAAATTAATTAATAGTATTACCTCTACACTTCGCAATTCAATTTTCTAAACGCTAATCATTAATTAATTAACATTACGAAAAATAATAATTGAAAATATGAAATAAATGAAAAATGAAAAATAACAAAGTTACAACGTTACAATAGAAAATCATGGAGTTAAAATAGCGAAAGCAAGGGAGAAAGAGAAAGGATTAAGGTGTATGTATGCAAAATATAGGAAAGGATTGTGAGATGTCTAAAATGAATCCAAACATATATTTTATTTTATTACCAAACGATTTGCGATTCGACTAATCAGATTTAGCAAAGTACATTTAAGAGTGAAAATCAAGTTTCTTGGAGTGAAATATTAAATGTAACACTATTTTGTATCTGATTTTAAATTTATTTTGAACTGGATTTAAATCCGAAGGTCGATCTTTTATAATATGAAACGTCAGAGATCCGGTATATCAATTTTGTGTACTGTCAAAGTGAATTATATTTAAAAATAGTGTCCGAGATTATGAATAGACGTTTTAAATTTATTATAAAATTGCATGTATAAGATTAAAAATATTACCTTTACATCGTAAAAATTCAATAAATATTGATAAATAATATTATAAAATATAAAATTGATATTATTATTTTAATTTAAAAATATATATATATATAATTAATGATTAAAATATTAGACAATAATAACAGTATAACAAATAATTTAAATTTTTTGTTTAGGATTGGTGAGAATATAAGTTTAGTACAATTAATACATTTAGTACATCATAATAATAAATATAATGTATCAAATTAATAAATAGTAAATAAACAATTTAGTTTATTGATGTCATTATTAAATAAACATTTCATACATTTTATGAAATTTACAAAGGTTTTCATATTCATAATCATAATCAAAAAAACGGGGAAAATTACCTGTCAAAAATTTTGCGATTTAACCTATATATGAATGATCGTTCGGATAAATTCAAATATGCCGAATCATGTTCAAATTAAACTATTAGATTGTCTAATCTAAAAAAGTCGTTCTAACCATTATGCTGGCGCAGCATCCCCGTTGATAACCGGTTGTACTACAAATTTAATATAAATATTGATGACAATAAGTATAACAACAGAAGAATGACAGTCATTATAGTATTATAGTGTAACAAATTCAATAACGCCCAAATTACATTAATTGACAAAACCATTTGAACAGTTATAAATGATGAACTTTGAAATCTTTTGGGTAATAAAAAGATATCATGAATGGTATAATAATTTATACCAAATAAAGATCATGCTTGTAATATGCTATCTCCAGGTTGCATGTGTCCATAAAATTATTTGCATTACCTATATTACCATTGCTCAGACATAAAAAAAAAAAAGTGTAAATTGTTGGAATAAAAAAAAATAAAAATTTAAAAAAAAAAAAAGTTGTCGACTTATTTATTAAAAATAGACAAAAAAAAAAAAATCTTTACATTCCCAGTCTTTTTTGATTTTTTTTTTGATTTTTTTTTTTTTTCCTTCAAGGCTGAGCCTGTAAAACAAATAATCGTCGTATTCATATCCAGAGAATTTTTGTCAATAAATAATATCGGCCTTCCTAATAATAATAATAATAATAATAATAATACAATATTTATATAGATTCACATGTCTATTTTTTTAGTTATCTATTATTTGACTACCAACTAATTAGTCCTTCCTTGAACAAAAGTTTAACATTTCCTTTCACAAGTTATAAATAGTGAAAGGGCCAATTCGCTTTTGTTGGTGTCCTTCCCCATCGCTCTTTAAAAAAGGTATGGCAAGCTCACGAGAACATCGGGGAACAGCCCGCCAATACCAACAACGTGTTGAGCACGATGAATATGAAGAGGAGTATCCGAGAGAAAACTCCGATAGAGCTTACAATCGGAATGCATTATATCACGGCGAATATACGGAAGACGAAGGTGAATTTGAGGAAAATGAATATCAGGAGGGTAATTATGAAGAGACTGATTATGTAGAGTATACCGATCTTGACTCACCAACTTCACCTAGCAACGGTCACCCACTCCCTTCACCCCCTCCTTCACCTCCAACAGACAACGGTTATGAAGACGAAGATAATAGCAACGATGCCAAAATATCCTCCTCGAATATACCACCTCCACCTCCCTCTAGAGCCAAAAAACTTCCATCGATACCGAATAGGTCTCAAGTAATATACATAGATGAGAAACCTCCGTCTCAAATGCCATTTCGACCTTCAGCGCCTACTCCAACTCATCAAAAGCGTAAAAATAATTATTTCACTATTGGGAAGTCTTTAACTTCTCGACTAGGACCAAAATTTAAGTCGTTTAAAAAATCCCATGCAAAAGAGGATGAAACCAGGAATGTTGATTCTTCTCCTCTTCCCGAACCTCCACAACGTTTACCAATCACACTTCCTTCTCTGGCTCCATCTTCCCCTATATCTCATCAATTACCTGCCGAATATTTAGATTCAGAATTTGATCAAGAGACAGATAATGCTTCCGACGTTCATACAACTCCCGAACTTACAATGGATGATCTTTATCATCTCGTCCTTAATATGCAAAAGGGTTTTCAATTACAAGTTGATGAGATGAATACACAAATCAAAGATTTAAAACGGGAAATAAAAAAATTAAAAGGTGAAGAATCCGAAGAGGAAGAGTCAGAGGAAGAAGACGATGATTTAGATGATTTTATGCGAAGCCCTTCAAGAACTGCAACTAGTGTTAGAAGTGTTACTAAAGAGATGGAAAGATATGGAGGGGAAGGGAAATGGTTTCATAGCGAATATTCATAAAGGATCATAATAAACATATTAATGCAACATCACAAGAAATTCAGAATATTTAAGCGTTATTAACTTTAATGCACTTATTCTTAGTTTGCCTGCCTTTGTTGTAAATCTATTACTTTCAATTATATTACAAACGACCAAAAAAAAAAAAAAAAAAAAAAATCCTTGCAAACTTAATTCATAAAAGATAAAGAACATTAGTTAAATTAATTAACTAATTAATTATTATTGATCGAGGGGTATCTAACATAAGAATTAAAATATTTTTCGAATTTACAATTAACATCCATATATTTGGTCCATCCATTATAAAGGTTTCAAACATAAAGAACATGTAAACAAGGTATCACGCCAAACCTTTGTCCAAAGATACCTGGGATGTATCACTTTTTTTTTGAACATAAATTGTTCGAGTTATATTATATTAAAATACCAAGATGATGAAATCTGTTGATTTTAATTCCTACTGATAAGGATAAAATAATTAAATCTGTTTTAACATCTATTCATCATATTTTTGATTTTCCATTATCAAATTTCTACTAGTCGATTCTTCGATAACGGTTTCATCCAAAGCTTTCAAAAAGTTCTTGAAAGTTGTAGTATTCTTAGAGTGAATGGAACGTGCATATGCTAAAAAAGGCATCTTCCGCAGAGTACGACCACTCATTCCCTGAACGAACGGATTAGTTTTAAAGAGAGAAATAAACAAACAAATAAAATAAAAATTTATAAATAATGATTGCTTCTAAATATTAACAATTTACCAGACATTTTCCTGAAATTGTATAAAGTCTAAAATTTGAATCTTCGAAATCATTTGTAAGTTTCACAGTACTCCAATCAAGGAGATTTTCCTTATATAAAATATTTTCTTCATTAAAATTTATTTGATAAATAGATGAACATCTTTAGTACTACCTTCATAATTATCCCAACTTTCATTAACTCTTGAATACAACTTGATAGAATCGCATAAATCGCTTGTCGAGATGGTAAGCCTACATATTGTTTAATATCAGCTCGATCAATGAAAGCGATATCTGATAAAGGAAATTCAAAGGTTACGCGAATATTTTTTAAAAAAAAGTACATTGAAGAAAGTTGAGATAACTAAACCTATCGCTTCTGTGATGTTAGATGTTGATAATATTAACACGTTATTTTTTTGTTTTAACTTGTCAATTTGCGTTAGTACCGCATTGACTACCTAATGAAGATGTCGATTTATGAGATAACCATTAAATTAAAATATACAAGATATGAACTTAAATTCTTTTACCCTCACAGCATCAGATGGTTCTGCACCTGTCAGCGCGGATTTTCTTACTGCAGTTAAACTTTCTACTTCGTCTTGAAAAAAAAAAAAAGATCGATAAGAAAATGACCTAATCAATATTTGTATTCGATAACAAAGAGTCGCACCTATTAACACGCAAACAAAAGAACCTTCTTCTTCGATCAGTTCATAAATCTGCTGAAATAATTTTTGAACCAACTTGCCGGATTCGGAGAACCATTTCGAAAACAAACTATGACTATTTATTTCAAAGAGCTTCACATGAGAATATCTAAAAAAAAAAGATATAAAGATAAATAAATGATCCGCATAAAAAATGATCCCCCGACTATAAACCTCACCTATCAGCCAATCTTATAGATAATTTCTGCGCAAAAGCTCGGCAAAATGTCGTTTTCCCTGTTCCTGGCGGACCATGTAACAGGACAACTCTAAAAAATTGTAAACATCATCAATCAATTCTTATGATATTTATACTATCTATTTTTATAATTCACCTGTTCCACGAAATTATATTAGTATTAACTTTACGATCCGAAAATAACATTGTTGTAAACACATATTCAAGCAATCTCGTTTTAATATTCTCATCAAATATTAAACTAGGTATGATAATTGATAGTAATAAGTTAATCAAGTACTTTGATCTTTGCGTTTTTATAAAATGTCAATACTAAACTTATCCCATAAACCATCAAGGGCGCGAGCAGGTAAGTCCCAATGGTGTGCAGTCAATAAATTCTCATCGTCTTGATATTCCTCAATCGCATCGTCTTCATTAAGTTGATATATATGAATATTCAATATCACGTTTTCTAAAGTTTGAAATTCAGACGCATTGCCTGACATGGAGATAACAAATAAATTTAAAGAAATCAGATACAAAGTTATTTACTGTATGTTACTTATGCTTCTTACCCATAACTTCAGAAACTCTTATGTATTCTACATTTTTGTTTAGTATAGGTACATCGTGAAAGTTCGTAATTTGAGGAATGCATAGTAAAGGAAGTTTGAATTCGCGAAAAAGTTTCTCAACATGTTCGCGTATTACGTCATATCGTATTGTGCTCTGAGTTTTCATACAACATTCGACTATAAAGAAAATGTTTTAACAATAATCGATACCCAAAAAGATTCTTAAATGACGCTTTAAACAAAAACCAACCATGAATATTATTGATAACAGATAATGGATCCATAATGTTTTTTATTGGAAATAGCATGACGAATTTCTTAAATGATCATCGGTTACACAAATTATTTATGTAAATCACAACGCGTCATATTAACTACATTAGAGACTCGACCGTTAGACGCGAAATTTCACAGAAACTTAATTCCGTTGCTTCTTTACTATAATATGCATTATGATCTTTAGGATATCTTAATTTACAATAATTTACTTAGAAGAGACTTTTGGTTAAAGGGAGCTCATCAGTAAAAAAGGAGGAAATCTAAAATTTTCTTTAATTTTAGTTCTTAAGCTAATTTTAAGCTCATGACTGTGATCAATCAAGTGGACCAATAAATAAAATTTTATCAAATTTTAGTTTTCCTCCTTTTCTATTGACTAGTTTCCAATATTGTGAATTATCGTTATTATTTTTTTGTTTAATAATTTTATTTACAATACAATTATTTAAATTTAATCTTTAATTTTATATTATTATATTAAGTATAAAGTTTATTAGAAGGGGAAATTGCTATTTAATTATTACCAATGATTTATATTATCAATTGCTGCTGCTAGTATAGCAGATATATCTGTTTATTTATTTATTGGTTTTTCTGATCTTTTTTCTTCCTTTTCATTGTTTTTATCATCTAAGTTATCTTTTATAATAATATCTTTTCCTTTTCAATCCTTTTTAAAAAATGAATTTGCATTTTCAAAAATACCATTCTTATAAAAATTTTTACAATAAATACATTTATCATAACAAACTGGATGATATCCAAAACCATAAGCTAGTGTTATACCATTATTATTTAATTGAAACTCATAATGATTACATAATCCCGACTTTAGTGAATGTGATGTACCATATGCCCTTAAAAGGTAATACAAGTTGCCTCTTTTTTTAAAATTACTAGTTTGTATCCTTTTAATTTTTTTTTTTTTGCATTATATTCTAGAATACTATTGTTTTGATTATAAAATATGCTACAAAAATAATTCAGCAAAAAAAAACTAATTTTATTAGATAAAAAATTAAGTATAAATGAATTATATGGATAATAGCGAATTTTATAATATATATCTTTAAAATAGAATTATGATCCACTATTTATATTAATATTAAAAATAAGAATAATATCAAATTTTTAATAAAATGCAAATTAATAAATAATATATACCTATTTTATTATGTTTTTAATTGTTACATTTAAAGGTGTATTTGCTTTTACTATATTATAAATATTTTCAACATAATAATTATTAAAATATGATAAATAATTCTTGATTACATCAGTAAATAGGTAATGGTTATCTATTCAATAAAATATATAATAAAAATATAAAGAAGGTTTTATTATAATTCTTTCTCTTTTAATATAAAGTATTATAAAGATATCTTAAGTTTTAATCTTAGTTTACTTTAAATTTATGTAATTTACCTTTAACAATTCATACAAAATGCTAAAGCACACTTTGCATATTGAATTTTAATACTGACTCAGAGTCTTAATCAAAATGTAATTTTTTAAATTAAATAGTATTCATAGATACTAAATAAGGAATCAGTACTATTTTAAGGATAATACAATATATAAAAAAATAGAGAAGTTGTATTTTATGCATCCTATACAAAATGCATCCCCCTATATTTATATATGTTGAAGTCAGTGTTGGTATATGACATCATATAACTTATATGACTTATATGACTTGTTATAAGTCATTTATAATTTAAATATATCTTATGACTTATAATTTTATCATATATTTCTTAATTTAAACTAGCATTATATTTGGTTAGAATTATTAATCAAATCATTTTTATAAAAGGAAATTTAGTTATACAAATTCTTAAAATAACAAATTTGAGATTTTAAAATATTATATAAACTTTTTTGACCTTTATATAATGTTATATATATTTTAAATAAGATAATTTATTATTTATAATTCTGGCTGAAATTAGTTAACCTATATGATTTTATAACTTATGAAATTTAATTATATGACATATGACTATGAAATTATAAAAATTTTCATATAACTATATCATATACTAACACTTGTTAAAGTAAAGTTAGGGTTAGGTTAAGTTAGGATTAAGATTAAAATTAAGATTAGGGTTAAGAATTATTTATCACAATGCATTACACCCCTATATGTTTCATTTTTACAGTTTATTCTGAAGACTTAAAATTTTTTTTATAGAAAAATTTTATTTTTTACCTCTTATATAATACATTTTATATTTTATGTAGATGTGTAAAAAATAAAGACTCTAAAGATATTATATATGAAGGTTACAATTATATAAGTTTAATAAATAAATATCAAAAAAAAATTAAATTTACTTTCTTTTCTAACTACTTTTTATTATATATATAGTCTTCTTTAATTCTGCTTTATAATATTAAAAAATGTTTAATACTTTTTCTTCTTTTATATTAAAATTATAGAAAATATTTAAATAATAGGAAAAGTTAATATTAAAGACACTATATAAAATAATGTTATTGTTATAAGAAGATAT